CTTGACTCTTGACTCTTGACTCTTGACTCTTGACTCTTGACTCAACTCTTGACTGCTGGGGTACAGGCCGGCTACCGGTTGGAGCGGATACGAACAACCCATCATGCTGCATGCAAGGAACAAACACAGCACAACTTGAAATTGAATTTGAATCAGAATCGAGGTTCATTCAAATTCAAGATTCATGATTCAAGATTGTGGACGTGTTCAACAGCCGCGCTATTCCAAGATGCATGCAAAGACGCGTGACGCGCGACTTTTGACGCAAGACTTATTATTGACTTTTGACTCTCAAGACTCTGACTCTGACTGCATACTCAAGACCTTTGAACTGCTTGCCACCGCTCGATCAAGACTCCAGCAGACTATCATACTCGTGCCTGGTCCTCTGCTTCACACCTCGTCTCATCTCGTCTCCTCTACTTGCTCCGTCCCTGCGCTGCGCTGCGTGCAGTCCAGGCTTAGGCTCGGCACGCCGATGTTCGTCCTTGCCAACAAACGCCACGCCATGCGACTCGCACATCGATCATTCGACTGCGACGATGAGCGGCCAGAACGATGTTCAGATGCCTGCGTCAGAGTCACTTTCGGTGCCGATACGGAGGCTACCGTCACCGCTGGTCTGTGGTGAAGCGTTATGCTTTGTAGACGTCGACGCCCCAACAACATCCACAACAAGGAGAGAACAAGGACAGGCTGTGGAGCTGCTGGACGAATCTGCTGGCAGCAAGCTGGCCTGCTTAGCAAGTCGCAGTCGAAGTGTGAGGACTGCGGGCACAGGCGCAGATGCAGAAACATCAACAGGAACAGGAACAGGAACATCGACATCGACAGGATTAGGAGCAGGAACCGGAACATCAACCTCAACATCATCAAGGACAACCTCAGCCGGTGGTTCCGTGTCATCTCCCAAGTTACTGGTCCAATCGCCGGCGAAAGTGCAAAATAGCGCCTCGGTGAGCCCGATGAGTGCGCCCCTCAAATCAGAGGACATCGGCGAGAGTTTGCGCCAGAGCTACGAGAGCCGCCTGGAGCGCAGGACACTCAGGCTGAAGTGGACGAGCGAGGAGCATCGACGTCGAGGGGAGGAACGCGTACGCGACCCTGCTTTCGTGTCCAAGCTTGAAGCACTCCGACAGCGCATACGGGAAAAGAAGGAGGAAAAGCGCCTGGCCGCTGCCCTCGTCGATCTCTTGCAATGCTGTGCCCAGCTTTTGTCATCCTCGTCCACAGCCAATGCCTTCAAGAACCATGATAGCAGGCACGTCAACACCGGCGTCGACGTGCCGCGTCACAATTCCGACCTCCGGTCTAGGCGCCATGCTGCCAAGAGCGGCGAAAGCAGGGTGTCTGCCTTTGAGCAGGGAAACCAGCAGCTGAGAAGTGATGGAGAGTGCAACTGCGTCGACATCGCAATCCGCGTCCCAAAACAACACATGCTCTGGTTGGCATTGCAAGATGAGCAGTCTGCTGTCGGCGATGGATCCGATGCGAGCAGCGTCCGTAGGGACGCGCAGCATCCCTTTCTGGACTATGCTTCAGTCATCGAAATGAATCGAGAGGATCACAGCGACCTCAGCGGCTCCATTGTCAGACAGATCGCCCGCTACGCGGTGAGTCGTTGTGGGCAAGGCAACTTCCAGACAGATGCACCCTCAAAGGTGGCCCAGGCGCATCGCTTTGGCGTGCGGTCCTTGCTGGGGGCGTGCGCTCGTGTTTCTCGGCCTTTTCTTTCTTTTTGCTGTCGATCCGCTCAGCTGAACCAACTGCCCGTCTACTCCACCCCTTCCAAACGACCCAACAGCGTCAGCTTCTGATCGCCCATCCATTCGCGCGACGCGTGCATGTAGTGACATGGACAGGGTCCTTAGTGCGTCTGTGGCAATACAATGCCAACGGCATCGTCTTGTCCCGCCCCTTCGCACTCATGGAGACGTCAGACTCGAGCAGAAAAGAAGGCAGCGCAGACAGTGTCGCAGAGCTAGGCAAGCTGTGCTACCTGCTCATGTCTGGAGAGGCGACTGTCCTTCCACGATGGACACCTTGCTCCCCCGATGCCAAAGCTCAACTACGCGACATGGAGGTCGGCATTGAGATCAAAGATCATCAGTCTGTTCGGATCATCAATGTGCGCCCCAGCATAGACGGCTCTCGCACCGTGCTGTTTGGCACACCCATAACGAACGTTCACTTTCCTCAGCAATTCAAGACGCAGTATCCTTGGGTCTTTTTCAAATGCAGCTGGCTCCCAGAGCGACTAAGCCAGCACGAGCACACTATGCTGAAAGAACTGTCAAAGACTGGCTGTGCACCGGATCCTATTGGCAATTTCCAGCTACCCTGGACAACTTCGACATTGAAGAGCTTCTCGCGCTCTGAAGAAGACGAAGGTCAGCATAGAATGCTAGCTTGCGTGCTCGTCTTTGCACAGCATCGCGGAACGCACATTCCCTACACTTTGTCGGTCGCAGAGAAAGCTGACGTATTTGCTCAGCTGTCTCAACAACTCTGCGCTTATGCAAAGAGAGGGTACCATTACCGTGATTTGAACACCGGCAACGTTCTCATCAGGTATGAGAACGACAAACTGGTTTTGAACCTGGTTGACCACGGGAACGTCCGTCATGGCTTTGTGCGTGGCCTCGAGACCACAGCAGAGGACGACGCACGTTCCGCAAACCAGCTCTTCATCCCCTCCGGCATGCACAGGGCCGTGAGTGCTCGGGATTCGTTCATCTTCGCCGGCCAACGATTGTTGGTCGCAGTTACAGACAGGGACAAGATGCTCAGGCGGAGACAGTGGTATGACGAGCATCGAGAGCTGTACCTGTCTCTGCACAGGTACTGTGACGACCTCGAGTCGTCGATCTACATACTCATTTGGCTGGTGAGTAGCTTGAGTGCTTCTGTTCCTCTTGAAGTACAGCGATGCTGATGTGCTGCGGTCATAGTCTGCAAAGCCCGGAATGCACGATCAGCTACGCAGAATTCTCACCGACGCAGGCGAGAAGACTAATGCATGGTCGAAGGAAGTCCGTTTCGAAATGGTATGTCTTCCTGACCGAGGATGAGGACTCCCCCGGCGACACGGGGTTCGAATTTCGCTAATAGCTTCAATTCACGGCCCTGCCGACGCAGCTACTCATCGAACACCTCGGCGCAGAAGAGGTTTGCAATGATTTGCTATTGGAACTCTACAGAGCCATTCGACATGCACAAGAAGCATCGCTGAAAAGGGTGGAGACACACTACGAGGAGATGATCCTCAACGGCGAGAGCAACGTGCCCTTTGAGATCATCGAAAGTCGACTCAAGACCGTTGGGGAACTCCCTTTGACGCCAGAAGAAGAGCAGTGCATGGCTGTTGAAGCGCCAAGACTCTTCAGGAAGATGAGCCGCTTGGTGAGTGGCAACCGAAAGCTTGGAATCGGATTGCCGCTTTTCGCTAGCCGACGTGCTACTTGGGACCCTGCGTGGGACACTAAGCTGACAGGAATCCCTGCTCCACTCTCGACTTCTTGTCAGAAGCAGACTGCTTCGGACTCGACTCCACCAGACGCCAAAAGAACGAAGCCAAAGCCTTAAAGAGCGTCGCGCTGCAAGCCGCAAACTTCCTGCCTCGAGTCAGGCGGCCTTCAATTTGAAGAGGCCACGAGCGAGTTCATGCCGTGCCTGCCTCGAGTGGGCTCTCGCTGCTCGGAACTCTCAATTCGGCCCCTTTCCTAATCCCGCCTTGTAGCCTAACACTCACCCTCGCTCGGTCACACTCAACTGGCTCACAATTATCACGACGATCACCCCGCTCTTGATACTGGTGCTGCGCTTATCTCTCCCTCCAAAGGCCGCGTTTTGAATCATGTTGCAGGCGAAGGCGGGCAGGCCTTATGAGAACCTCGAGTCACGAGTGCAATCGATCGGTCACGTGACGTTGCGCGAGAGACTTGAACCTGTGTGCGTCGGCGGCCAATACTCATCAAGACTCTTGACTGGATGATAGGTGGCGTTGATGCATGCCATACGCGATCGAGGCTTGCTCTAGACAGACTCACACTCGTGTCTCAATTAAGACTCACGACTCACGACTAATCTCGACTCTTGACTCTTGACTCTTGACTCTTGACTCTTGACTCTTGACTGGCGACGGTGATTCACTCAACTGCGGCTTGATCTACCGGTTTCGATTCATTCCAATCACGACTGCGCATTGTCCGTTCCCTCCTTCGCCATCTTCTTGCTTCGAACATGGCCGGCCCCAAACCTTGATGCACGCAGCTATCATCGACCCTAAGCTGCATCATCGCCAATACAACAAGCAATGGAGAGGTTCAAGATGGCAATTGAGGTCAACGGTGCAGCATCGGCCGCTGCAAAGGGTCGGTCGGGCCGGCGATGGCATTCACGCGTGCTGCTGAGGACGAGCGCCATTTTGGCTTCCCTGATCCTTGCTTGTCTTGTTGTGAGTGCTTGCCGGCATTAGTAGCTCCGCCGCTTGGTGGGGGGCCTACAAGCGGGAAAGCATAAAAGGCTGCTGCACCCTGCACCCTTCACCCTTCACACTGCCCATCGACACTCCTTCAGCACTAGGGGCCAAGCGTGCGATCTCACGCTCAGCATCATTGTCGTCTCGATCTCCATCTCGCACTGACACGATTACCCCATCGCGGTGTGCACGCAGGCCATCGCTCTACCCTTGACGTTCCCAGGTCTCTTTGTGAGCGCACAGCAGACGGCACAGGTAGAGGCATTCTTTGCGCGTAATCACCAGCAGCAGCAGCAGCAGAGCGGGCATCCAAGCTGGGACGTGCCGGTGACCGCGAATGGATCTGCTGCGCGACTGGCCGATGACGCAGGACACACCAACAACTGGGCCGTGCTCGTCAGCGCCAGCAAATTCTGGTTCAACTACAGAGTGCGTATACCCAAGGCGGGGATTTCGGATTCAATTCGAGTTGAAACTGCAGCCGAAGCCGCTGATTAGCTGCATCTTTCGCCTGCTCTTTCACTCAGCACATGGCCAACACGCTGGGAATGTATCGCACAGTGAAGCGACTGGGCATTCCCGATTCCCACATCATTCTCATGCTGGCGGATGATGCTGCTTGTAACTCGCGAAACCTCAGTCCAGGCTACGTTTGGGCCGAACCGGGTAGGAGCTTGGATCTGTATGGCCAGAATGTCGAGGTGGATTACAGAGGCTACGAAGTCACAGTCGAAGCTGTCCTCAGACTGCTCACTGGTAAGTCTGGCTGAGACCGGGTGCCGCTCCGATGGGCTTGCGAGCGCCGACACGATCCCGCTGCTGACCGGCGGTCGCGCACATGCCACCCAGGAAGAGTGCCCCTCAACACTCCTCGGTCAAAGCGCTTGGAGTCGGATAGCAGGTCAAACGTCTTTTTGTACATGACTGGCCATGGCGGCGACGAATTTTTAAAGTTTCAAGACTACGAAGAGATCTCCGCTTTCGACTTGGGTGAGAATGGCCTGGATCTTGGGTGCGCACTGCACGTTCGCGCGCTAAGACCTGCTGTACGATGCTTGCGACTGTAGCCGACGCAATAGAGCAAATGTGGGAAAAGAAGCGGTAGGTTTCAGTGTGCGAAGAGGAGCTGTACAGTCCGGCTCGAGCTCATACTCCTCTGTGCCCTTCATCTCGCTCCATATCTGCAGATACCATGAGCTCTTCTTTATGATCGACACCTGTCAAGCCAACACCATGTACAGCAAGATATACAGTCCTCATGTGATCGCAACTGGAAGCAGCAAAAAGGATCAGAATTCGTACTCTGTGAGTCCAGGCGAGCTTGCTCACCTGCCTTGCCTCGCTCTGTGCGACTCGTGCAGCTGATGTCACGTCGACGTTACGACACAGCATGGCACGGACGAGGAGCTTGCAATCGCCATGTCTGATCGTTTCACGCTCGAGATATTGGATTACATGGAAAGCGTCAACAAGACGTCGAGCAGGAGCCTGCAAGACTTGGTGCGTCCCCCCCCC